CTTTACCTCAGCAAGCCCTTGTGAGTGGTATTTCATTGTGATTTGGTATATATTATTAGGAACAAGTTTTAGGTTATATGATCTTTGGCAAGCGACTTAAATTAAGGCTTGTTTTCCTCATCCACAAAACAGAGACAATTACATCTTCTGTTATGGACTGCACGTTTGTGTCTCCTCAGTGCTGCAATGAACATGTGGTTACAGGTTTCTCTTTGATATTGCGATTTTATTTCCTTCGGAAATATATATATCCAGAAGTTGGATTGCTATATCATATGGGAATTCTAATATTTTTTTGAGAAGACTTCTTACTGTTTTCTATAGTGCTTATACCAATTTACATTCCCACCAACCGTGCATAAAGGTTCCCTTTTCTCCACATCTATGTCAACATATATCTCTTGTCATTTTGATAATAGCCATCATACCAGGTGTGGGGTGATACCTCTTTGTGGTTTTGAGTTGTATTTCTCTGATAATTAGTGAGATTGAACATCTTTTCATGTATCTTATGGCTGTTTGTATGTCTTCTTTGGAAAATATCTATTCAGATTTTCTGTGCGTTTTTAAATTAGATTATTTGTATGGTTTGTTTATTTTTTGCTATTAAGTTATATGATTTTTCTTATATATTTTATATTAACTCCTTTTCAAATATATGGTTTGCTAAGAAGCTTTTGGAGCTGATTCTAGTGATGGCCCTGGAAGAAAAGAGAGCTGAAGAGAAATCTTCCTTTTTCTAAAAGAATATATAAATAATCATGTGCAAAATGCTGGTAGAAATATGAATGGTAAAGGCCATTCTGATGAGATCTCAGATAAAAATGAGGAAAATGTTGTGGAAATTGGAGGAAAGGCAATTTTTATTACAAAGTAGCAAAGAATTTGGCTGAGTTGTATTCCTGTTCTAGTGTTTTGTGGAAGGTAAAACAACCGAGGAAGAGCGATGTTAAGTCACTTGCTCCCAGTAACAGATCCAGTAATGCTGGAGCCAGGATTGAACTGGAGCTGGAGTCTTAACCACTACACCCCTCGCCCCCTGCAAGAGTAGACAGTATGGAGACAGGCAGTGCTGTGAGAGAAGGTTGGGGATCAAGACTGCTGCAGGCCAGAAGAATTGCTCTATCGGTATGACCCACGATACCTTACTTCAGTCAAGTTTTCCTAGAACTGGCTTACATTAAGCAATCACCTTGTTTGGGAGCTTTTCCATTTTAGGAAGATAGAAGATCTGTAATAGTTAGATACTTCTCACATGCCAAGGACCTAAAGAAAACAAATGAGACTAGTATGTGAAAGTGCTTTGTAATGTGTATAATGGGCTAAGGATATTATACTCCTTCTCAGCTTATGTCTCAGTGTCTGACATTGGGGCACTCAAACACTCAGTAACTATTTGTGTATGAATTGGCCTATAACACAGGAAGAAACCAAGCACACGCACAACACACATATACCACACACACACACACGCACGCACACACACACACACACACACACTGTATGCACATGTATTCTTCCCCACTAAATTGGAAGCTCTCTAGTGCAGTGTCTGTGTCATCTTTGTGTCTCAGTGCCTTATAGAATGCCCTAAAAACAGTCAGTAGTCAGTAAATGTTTGTCATTAATAATATTATAATGCCTCCCCTTTTAGACTGGATTTTTATGGGTTAGATTCTCTCTTTGGGGGCAGATGAGGGATTGATAGGAATTACTGACTTTATTACTTCAGAGCCCTTTTTTGGCACAGTGGTAGGCCAGGATTCAAGGGTTAAGTATTGAGAGGCTGCAGCTGGGAAGGCAGCACCCCCACTGACTCAGAGGCCACTGCTGTAATCCTCAGGTTCCAACTGGGATAAGAGGTGTGTATCAAGTAGGGGAAACAGGAACCATTGTAGAGACAGATTTGCTTCATTTCCTCCGGGACTGTTTTCCCCGGTGCATTGTGCCAGAAAGTGGATATTCTTCACCCAGTGAACAAGGGGTGAGTAAATAGTCTTGTCCATCACATAAAGAAGCCAATGAGTTAGACTGGCCTGGCCAGTTAGTTATGGGACTTGGTGTGAACAGCATGGCCTTTGAGTGATATGGTCACAGTGGCCTGGTGGGTGCCGTGACCAATGCAATTGTTGGTCTTATGGATGGGAGCAGGAGAGGATCATAGAAACGGGCAGTGTAACCAGGAAGTCCAACTCTGACAACAGATGCGGAGAGTGACTTACAAAGGGAATGGAGTGCCCAAGGCGAAACACAATCACAAGCTCAGGGCTAGGTGACCTTCTCTGGCCCAGGGTTATGCCCAATACAAGAAAGAAAAGAAAAGAGTAGAGGGTGGGAGGAAGAAAAAACAGTGACAGTGAATGGAGAGGACAAAAGCAGAAACATCAGAAATGCTCTACTAGTCTAAGTATGTGGCTGGGTCAGTAAAGCCCTTGTAACTGAGTAAATGCAAAGGGAGGCTATAAGCCCATACCAAGCCACATGAAGAGGAGCACAGCGGAAAGGATCAGACAGACCATGGTTGTGGCTGAGACACAGAAGCACTACCATCTGTGAAGGAGGCGTAATGGTCAGAACAAGCGTGACATTTATATAGATACAGTGGAAATGTTAGCATTGACCTCTGTTAGTCTGTTTGGGCTGCTAAAACAGAATACTATAGACTAGGTGGCTTAAACAATGGAAATTTGTTACTCACAATTCTGGTAAATTCAAGATTAAGATGCCAGCAGACTCAGTGTCTGGTGAGGGCCCACTTCCTGGTTCATAGATGGCCATTTTCTTGTTGAGTCCTCACATGGTGGAGGGTATATTTTGTAAGGGCACAACCCCATTCATGTGAGCTTGACTTATGACCTAATCACCCCCGAAAAGTTCTCACCTCCTAATGCCATCACATTCGGGTTAGGATTTCAACATACAAATTTCAGGGGAAAACAAACATTCAGTTCAAAACAACCACTATTTTAAATCTATATATAATTTACTCTAGTACAATTTCTTGTTATCAAACAATTCACTAATCTAAAGTTTCACTTAAAAATAATTCAGGCATTGTCTGATAAAGAAATAATGACACCTGTGTAGATTCAACTGGTTATTATTCCTCAAGTTGTGTGATGGTAGTTGTGGAAGGAGTTGCTTTACAAATGGCATCCCAACCAGAGACCCTCAATCATTCCTAAATAGGGAAAAGTGAGAAAACTGATGTGTGCAAAGGTTTCAACTTAACTGGATTCATTTGACCTTTAAGTAAGAGTGAAGGGACTTCATGCTCACATTCATTTCGTAGGAGCTTGAGACAGCAGAATTAAAATGAGATAGGTGCCAAAGCTGGCAAAGCACTGTTATTGGGATGTAAATATTTAAAAAGCTACGAAGTTTGATTAAAAGAAAGGCATGTTTTATCAGTCAATAAGGAAATTGAGGGCCATGTTACCCCAACTTTTTGATCCTACTTCATTTTAACAGGGTTTTAGCACTCACAGCTATTCCAGAACCGTTGATAATAAAAAAGTCTTGAACCTGAAAAACAGACAAAAGACTATATATGAAATCAGTTTAATGATTTATCTAGGAATCTGTGAACTGTGGAATCATGATTGTTAGGACTGAGAGACACCTGCTCACCTTTCTGAAATGAGTTGCTGAAAAGATATTCTGAGATTCAGAAAGGGTAAGGGATACAACGTTGACCTTTTGGAGACAGGAAACCTTTGATGAACTGTAGGACACCGAGACAGTTCATTTAAAAGATGGTTTCAAAGCATTCTCGGGGCTGGTTTTGTATGTGCATTACTGAAGCCCTTGGGTTGTCTTTTTACATAAACCTGGCAAAATAATGGTTTCTGCACTTGTTCATATGTTTGCAACCCTCACGTGGCACCTTGGCTTCTGGACTTTATAACTGCATTTCAGTCCATTTTGTGAACAAAATTAAAATTTCCTTACCATTTGACAGTGTGAAACTTTCCTGTGCTGGCATTAAAGAGAAAAGGGATAGGAAAAGGCCACAATACCACCTCCATGTAATTACGGCAGTGCAAACAACTAAATAAAATGGTTGCTAATGACATTTACTTGAGTCTCTATATGAGTCCCTGTTCTAGTCTTGGAATAAGTTAAGGATCAGCTGCTTATAAAATGTACAGATAGTAAATCTTTGTTACAGGTGACAGTTTGCATTTTTTGAAAGACAGGTATATGTTAGGGCTGTTCTTAGGCTTATGTGCTCTCTTTCTCTGCCTCTCCATCTTTCTGTCTCTGTCTCTATATACGCTCATGTTTATATATGTATATATATGAATACACATACATGCATACCTGTAGACATACATATGTATGTATATACATGTGTATATGCTTTATAAGGTAATAATATTTAATAAAGTACAGGTTAAAACTTAGAAAAATAGCTTCAAACTTTGGTTTAAAGACTTAGATTGATCATCTACCAAGGTATAGAATATAATCAAAGAACCAGTTTGTCCTCTTTTAACTCTTGAAATAAAAGACCCTAAAAATAAAAAGTAATCAATGATTTTTCTGGGGAATTCTGGATGTAGAATTAATCAAATTGTCTGTACATATATGAGGAAGTTAAGACTTCTAAACTGCTGAGCTTAAACTTAGTTAGAAATTTATACCAGAAAGAATGAGTCCCAAACAAAATTGTGCCTTTATTTATTGAACACATTATTATTTAGGTACACAATAAATAACATCAATAAGGATAACAAGAATAATGCACCATCCTGGCCTTCAAATCTAGCAGAGGAGACTAATTAATAAACAATAATATATTATGTGTCATATAATATATCTCAAGGTTATAGGAGAGTGGAATGGAAGGTAACGCAGCACACCCAGTGTGTATCAGGCAATGTTTCCTGGGAGAAGATATGCTTGTGCATCATGGGTATTAGCCATCAGCTAACAGGTGGAGAAAAGGCTTTCCCAGTGGAGGGACTGTGCATTGTGTCCAGAAGACATAAAATAATATGTTAAGGAAGTACAGGTAAGTTTGAGTTACTAGAATTTAGGGTGTAACAGGAGGCTGAAGAGTCCTCTGACAGAGCCCAAATTTCCATCGGACTTCCTCTGTGAAGGCATTACTGATGCCTTCACATCAGTAATGTTGGTGTTCTCGTTCTCTGTGTCCCTATGACTTCTTGCATAATTCTATTGTTGGATTTTTCATACCCAATTTAATTGTTCATATCTGATTTTCACACTTGTCTTCAGGATAAACAACATTAAGACTACCTCCCCGTTCTTATAAAACATAGAAAATAGTAGGTACTCAACAGTACTTGTTTATTAAACAAATACATGAATGACTGGCTGGCTAGATGAACGAGATTATACACAGTTTGGGGATCAGAAAGTCAAGAATGCCTTGGTTCTCAAGCAACACTTCATAAAACCTTAATGGTTTCATTTTTCTGTTTCAGATTACTTGCAGCATATAATAGTCTCACCGATAAACACCTGGCTGGATATTTTAACAATACAAGGATAAGGCGGCATCTCTTAAGATCAGGGCTGGTAAGATTTGGTTTACTTTCTACCTGCTCTCTTGTTTCATTAAGTCCAATAATTCCTTCTTTTTTCTAGTTTTCTCTTTGAGCTAATCAGTGATATACCAGGTCCAGCCCCAACCCCATTGTAGAAAAATTATTTCCTTTCCAAAGCTCTAATTTATCTTTTTGAGGCTGTTTCAAAAGATAGGAAGAGAGGTCACAAAGACTGCTCAGGCAACTTACAAATTATTGAGGAAAAACCCTGAGTTTCCAACAGCATATTTCATTTGTTAGTCTGTTCATTCATTTATTCAACATATTTATTAAGCACATTGCATGAGCTAAGAAAGGTTAGGGAAGACAATAAAGAAGACTTTATTGTCTTTAGGAAAAAAATATTGTTTTTAATAGTCACAGAATATGGTGTAGAAGACATGACCATTTCAAAATTTCTCTTTGAATTTATAAAAATGTTTCTATTTCCTGGGATGGTTTATTGATACATTATGTCTTTTGCTAGTTTTAAAACTATCATTTCCACAAAATTTCCATTCCTCTAAATGTATTCAATGTGAAAACCTTTTTAAAGTACTGTAGCTTTCCACTGGGAGAAGTGGGCATGGTTAGAGAAAGTGTGACTAATAATTTCAACTGTTTACCTTCTTCAAACAGCAGTTTTCCTAACTATTGTTGCCATGGTGTTGAAAGGATATGCAGTACGTTTCTAATTGTTGTTTATGAGCTTGGCAATCTCGCTGGTTAGATCTCGGAGAGCTTGCTTTTTGTCTCCTGGGGCTTTGTTATCAGACAGACCTGGCTGAAACTTGGCTCTGCCATTTACAAGACACAGACTCTTGGAAAAAATCACTTCCTTAACTTTCTCAGCTCCAACTTCCTCAGTTGTAAAATGCAGATAATGATACCCAGCCCTCAGGATTATTGTGGCAATTAGAGACGTGTAATAAGTGGTGGTTGTGATTATTGTGGTTACTATTAGCATTACTTCTGTGGATAACAATCTGTGAGCTGCACCTACAAGTGGGAAGGACTTAGTATTTACTTATCAACATCATTAACAAGCACTTACTTGAACATTGCTTATGTGCATGACAACTCAAATAAGGAAGTTACAGCTCTTTGTCTAGAGCAGTCATTCAGATATAGTCCCTGAATCAGCGGTGTTCATCATTACCTGGGAACTTGTCAGAATATGCAAATTTAGAGCCTGACCCTAGACTTATTGAGTCAGAAGCTGTGGAGTGAGGCCAATCAATCTGCTTTTCAACTTGCCTTCCACATGATTTTGATGCAGGCTCAAGCTTAAGAACTTTTGCCTTAAAGGAGCTTCCAGTCTAGTTGGGGAAATCAGACAACTCCCAGATGAGAGATTACAATGACACATGTCAACTGAAGGAGTGGTAGTGCAGGATGTTCTCAACATTTTTCCCCGTTGGACACACATGACATAATATCCTATGGACAATGCATTTCAAAGACTATAACTAAATTGTAATTCTAAGCACACTTTCTATAACCACACCCCTTTCTTCCACTGGAAAATGTATTAATAAAAAAAGATTATCAATACCCAATCACTTATAGCACAATTTAGTTAATCCCAGCAGTCCAATATGTTGCAATAACAGTGTTAAAAAACTACAGTTATCAAAATTAAGAAATATGTGGGCTCGGATTAGACCTGAAAAGTAGAGCAGGCTTAGTTAAGTGGGAAGGAAGAAGATGGACAATCCAGGAAGGATAATGCCCTCTGTACAGAAGATATAGAAAAATGCAAAAAAAAAAAAAATGTCTATAGGAAAGGTTAAAGGAAAACAAGTACAGTTGACTCTTGAACAACACAGGTTTGAATGGTATGGGTCCACTTATATGTGGATTTTTGTTAGTAAACACTTGTACTGTTCTCAACCTGTAATTAAGAGTCCATAAATACAGAGGGCCAACTGTATGAGTTATCTATGTTATTTGATATAGGGGACTTGAACATTCACAGATTTGGGTATCAGCAGGGGTCCTGGAACCAGTCCCTTGCATATACCAAAGGACAAGTAAGTTTTTAGAGAGTTATATGCATTTTCGACTGCGTGGGGTGGGCATCCCTAACCCCACATTGTTCAAGGGTCAACTGTAAATGAAAAACAGAAACCACCACTCCTTACAATGATACCAATTGAAACTAATCTGGAATACTTTATATATGTAGTGCTGGTATAATCTGAAAAAAATCTGAATCACAACAAATTAAATTACATTCTGGGCTGGTGAGTGGAAGAAGAAAAAGCAATGTGAAAACAAAGTAATGAAGCCGATTATTTTTAAAACAAACTGATGAGAGCCTCTGTAACTTACATGTTTTGCCCTTCAAAGTATTTCCTGTGAGATCATCAGTCCTGAGATCACTGCTCCTATTCATTGTTTCAAGATAGCACCCCATCTCTTCTTCCCAAATGTGGGGGTGGTGGGGGGAAGGAAAAAAAATGAAAAGAACACCTGGGTTCCATTAAGGGAAAATTGCTACTGTAATAAAAACCTTGTTTTAAACACCAAGTGTACCCCCTGTGTGTGTTTTCACAGTGATGGGTATATAAGACTGCCTTTCTCTTTCTTTGCCTTATGAAATATTTATTAAAAGTGGAAGTTTATCAACCATAGTATTGTACTCCTTTAGGCTTAGGAGACATTGCTAATTCTCTCTTTCTGTCTGCCTGTCTCAATCTTTTGGTAGCTAACTATACATTTTCTGCTTTGTATTTCTCTGTATGTTTTATTTTTTCACGACAGATCACAAGAAGTGGAAGAATACTTTCTGAAAAAGAATACAAACTAAATATCATGAAGAGGGATCACCAAAAATATATCCGGGAGTGCTTAGCCCAGGCTATTTTCCATAAGGTTCTCGATATGGAGGTAGAAGTATTTACTATTTTCTTTATAAATGATATGTTCTAATATGATAATTAATAATACTTCTGTATCCAGAAGCAGGGAGATTCTTCCTGTATTTCATTAAAAAGGAATGGAAGGTGACCTGAGAAGTGCTCTATATTTCTCTAGGTAGCAAGGAACCAACAGACTATAAAGTAAGCTTCTCTCCGTTTCAGTTAGAGAAAAATATGGACATCATTATATATTTTGTGATATTTAATTTAACAAATGTAGATTTTTAATTCATAATGGCTACTCTAAAACATACCAGCCCTCACCATCTGTACCTCAATTTCCATTTGCTAAAAAAAAAAAAAGTGACATCTGTTTAAATATCAGTAATTCCACTGCCATGAATTATTTCAGATTTGTTATTCATTTAAGGCTCTGAAGCTCAGCCGTATGCTAAATTTCAAGGCGTAAGCATTGAAACATCTGCTGTCCCTCCTACTTTAGGCCACATTGGTCAGCATAGATTTACAATCCAAGCATGAGCAACTTTTTTTTTTTTATCTGACATGGCATTTTTAGTAGGATATCTAGCTAACCTGATAAATTATTTTAGCCTTGCTCCATGAAATTTGTAGTTTTGAGCATCAATACCGTTTTAATCTCTGTGAAAAAGCATGTCACTTCTTGGCTTGAACATACAGCAATAAATCAGAACACTTGGCTCGTAAAACCACTGACCTACGGATACAGTAAACATTTATGAAAAACTGTAGAATCATCAGTAAAGCAATATTAAGTTTAGTGCCTTTGAAAGTTATAATGCTGCCATTAGACTGTGCAAGTGTTTGTTCACATAAGATGTGTATGATATATTAATTTAAGAATTCATTTTGTGCTTATGTTATGTAGATGAATTACATAGAATCATTGTTTGTGGCCTCCAAATTCACTTGCTTATAAAAGTATTAGTTGGAATTCTACAATGTTACAAAAAAAAGTACAGTGTAAAATTAATCTTTACTTAGTTTCAAATTTAATTAGTAGGCACAAAGTTCTGTAAGCCTTGATCCTTAAAGTTTGATTTTCCAAACTTTCATATAACTGATACATTATAACTATTAAACATACTATTATTTAAATATCTTCATGTATTCTTAAAGTTTGGAATAAATAGATAAATGGCAATATGTAATATATATGATATATAATTATATATGTAATATATAAATTAACAAATAGAATATTTCTCTCTAAATTGTCACATTTTTCTCACATTTAGATTATGCTGATGATGTTTACTAATGTTGTTATATTAATATTCATGTAATCATTCCTGTAACAAACATTAATTGCAGGCTCACCATGTACCATTATGAGGCTATGTGATGTAGCTGCAATATCTGATTTAAAAAAATACTGTAGACAGTAATCAAATGCTAGAAGAGTGGAACAAATGGACTGAACTCAGAAAAGAAGGGATTGATGACTTGCTTCTGCTAGAGCCAGAGGAAGCTGAACAGAGGTCCTGCTATTTGAATTGGACCTTGAAGACTAAATGAGATGTCGCATGAAAACATGAAAAAGGCATTCCAGAGAGTGAAGTTAGAGGAATGTAAAAGCACATCGTAGATGGAAAGGAAAGCTCACTGAGGCCAGACTGTACAGTGGGCTGGTGGAAAGAGGGGCAGAAAGTGACATTCTCCAATAAATTGAGGGCCAGTTTCTGGAAGGCTTTCAATTCCCAACTAGGTTTGGAGTGTAGCTGATGAGGCGATGAAACATTTTTCAGCAGAGGAGTGAAACAAATGAGCAGAGCGTTTTTAGATGATGTTGCTAAAAATGTGGAAGATAGATTAATGAGCTGGAAAAGATTGGAGGTGGGAGGTCAATTAGGAAGCTGTCGCCAAAGGGTGTGGGCTAACAGCAGTGGTGGAAATGCTGAGGAGATGCAGCTGTTCACAGAGATATGGAAGAGAGTGAGAAAGAGAGAGAGAGAGAGAAAGAGAGAGAGAGAGACTGAAACTGACTGGGTGAAAAGGGGTGAAGGAAAAGGAGCCCAGAGCAGCATTGCAGGAGATCAGAAACGACAACGTCGGCTGGAAAAGAACCTTCAGGTAGAAAAATGTGCCTGATAGACTGATTCTCACAAGCTTCAAAATGATTAAGTAAGACGAGTACTGGGGAAAAAAAAGAAATGAAGTTTGACCCAGAGTACAAAGACATTGGTGGTGTTGGCGAAAGCAGTTTCAGTGATGGTGAACAAGAGGGATGGTGGGAGTAGGTGACTGTGGCGAGCTGGAAATAAACAGAAGATGGCAAATGGTAAGTGGGTGAAAGAACAGGGAGGGAGAGAGAAGAAAGGGAAGTGTGAAGAAGAGGACTGGCGATGCTCAGAATGGTTGAGTCTGCGGAGTCTCAGGGCAACAGGAAGGGATCAAGAACAGAGGAAAAAACACTCTTGAAAATGCTTTCAAGTGTGTCCGAATGATTTCAACTCGAATTGTAAGCAGATTATTTTTATACAAGGTTTATTTTTCAATCGTATGACTAATATATTACAGAAAATTTGGAAAACACAAAGTATAAAAAAGGGAAATAATTATATATAATGTCTCCTCTCAGAGGTAACTGTTTACATACTCACATTTCCTTTTGGTCTCTACTCATTTATACATTAATAAAAGCATGTTTTGAGAGGGACATTGTTTTCTGAAAAAAAAAAAGTAAACAAGCAAAAATATATAAGAAGTCAGAACAAAGTTCAACCACTGACTAGATGTGTGACCTGGGGGCAAATTCGTGATCCTCTGCCTCAGCCTCTTCGTATGTAAAATGAGACTGCTCAGCCATTACCATTGTTGAAGAAGAGATCTTGTACTGAAGCACCTTCCTAGCTTGGGGACAGACACACAATATGGAGTTGGTCGATTAAGTTGTATTTCTGTGCAATTCCATATCCTCTTTTTTCCTGCATTACATGCATTTTCTATTTTTTAAAACAAAACCTTTATGAACTTTATTTTAATGATTATATTCTATTTAAGAATTCTATTAACGATTATATTCTATTTAAAGTTTATACTGTTTCTGAATTTTTGCTTTGAGGATAACAACAGCAACAACGACGACAACAGAAAACAACCTTTTAGACAACATCTTTGTACATAACACACCTTTTTAAAATTCAGATTCCCTCCTAGATGTAGAAGTGAAATTTATTGGTTAAAGGATAGGACACTTTTAACTGTGTAATGTATGTTAGGCATTGGCTTTCCAAAGAGTTTTACCAATTTATATTCCCACTTGCACACTTAAGCAGGTGATTCTTCTCCATCTCAAAGACAAGAGAGATAATTGAGAATACAGTTAGCTGGTGGCATTATTTTCCTTTAAAAAATTTGTTGCAGCAATTGATATGATTCTTTCTTCCATTCTTTCCTGTATGCTTAGCGTTGCCATCAACTTGAAATAAAAAAGAAATTGGAAGCCTTTGCTAGGAAGGAGAGAATTCAGAGATTTAAGGTAAGCAGCAATATAACTCTTTTACTTCATAATATTGTTTTATGATTTTGAAAGCCAGTGGTACTGGTATTAAAATTTCTCGGGGCACTTTACTTTAGAATAACTCACAGCTGAGGTCAAATGATGGTTTGAACAAGCCTAAATCTTGGCCACCATTCTTATGGGAAGATCATGACAAAATAGGCACAAACCTTGCAAAGAAAAATTTGAAAACATTCTTTTCAAATTTGAAATTTTGCTTTTTATTTTCTTGATTAGTGTAATAGAGGCCGAAAGATTTTTTTTTTAATTTATTTATTTTTTGGTCTTAAGAAGGCAAAAATTGACCATGGTATTCCCAAAGTGATATAAAACAGCATTCTAAAAATTATCCAATGGCACATTTTTATGCGGATGTGACCCTTGAAAATATATGGTAGGAAAGATGTACCTTAGCAAACAAAAGCCTAAGAGTTAGACATTTTATACAAGGCATTTAAACATTCAGTTTGCCTTCTATTTTTGTATTTGATACCCTTCTTTGAATTGAACTTATAAAATATATAAATTTGAATCGAGAGATGGGAGATTCCATTAGGCACGTCTGAAAGGTTTCAGTTTAGGGCAGCAGTTTTACTCAATTTCTTGAGCCATTCTAATTTGAATGTTGTTCTTCATTTTCTGTGTCGTCTTACAAATGTGGGGCCTAAGACACATTTCACAAACTGATGAATATTCGTAAAGCTTCTGTAGAATAACTTGCCATGTAAGACAATAATTTTTCCTCTTGCTCGATGAATTCAAATCTGTCTGTTCCATCATGGTCAAAACATAATATTGTTATAAAAGAGCTGTTAAATAACAGAAGATAGGTCAGTTTTTCAAGATTGGAAGAGTTAGTATGTAGAGATTCGTGGTTCATTCAACTTTGCCAATATGTCCTACATCAAGGACTGAGTTATAGATTCTATAATTTATTGCTGAAATGTTGATGGAGAAAAATGGTTACTGGAAATAAAGAGTGACTAGCATTGCCTGAAGCAGCACTCTATTCACTCTCACTCAGATTGCCAGACACACTAAATAGATATATGGATATGTTACAGCACTGGCAGATTAGTGATAGACACTTCAGTTCCTCCCTGTATGATTTTTATTTGTAACAATTTTCACTTTATAGCTGCACTTGGTAAAAGACCTATATTTTGACCTCTTTTATGTAACATGCAACCCTTTTGCTTAGGACATTATTTAATTAATTTTTAAGGTAGAAAAATAATACTTTCTGGTAGTTTCTACTGATCAGAGCAGTGACGAGCATTATGTTTCTCATAGTGATTTGCTTAAAGCAGGTTAATAAATATTGTTGCTAAAACTGAGGATACCCTGCTTCTGTAGCTATTTCTTTGAGTGTAGCTATTTCTTTGAATAAAGCAGACTTGCTTTCCCACTGCCATACCCAACTCCCCAGTACAGCTATGGAAACTTTATCTGACTGTCATGATAGGGCTCGGAAGAAATACTTTGAAAATAATGTGAAAGGGCTTAGTTATATAATATCTCTTACCTAGTACTAACCTGAGATTACTGATTATACACCAATTTGTGAAATCACTCTCTTATTCTAGGGTGAGCCCATGAGATGGTCTGGAGAAAATAACATGCCAGTCCTGTCTCCTCACCCCCCAGTGGGCCCAAAGACTAATCGTGGCCATAGTGTTCTGGTTGATGAAGGACATTCCAGTCCAACGACACTGGTGAGTCGTATAAAATACTGTCATGCACAATCCGTACAAATTAATTTAGAATTTGTCATTACTCTCAGAAAGAATACTCTCTGGGTACACGTCTGTATAATCCTGTGAATCCTACTGAATAAAAGAAAACATAGTCTTGTATCTGTTCAGTTCTGTCTCTACTGAACACTCCACCTGTAATCAGCATCACTCCTGTCAAATCTATTTTGCTTAATACTACTAGATTCATTTTCTTGAAGTATAATAACTTACATTATTTACATGTCCAAATATCATCACTTGTTATGTGTCACCTATAGAAATGCCCAGACTCTTCCACTTGACACTTAAGACCCTAAGCCATGTCACATCAAATTTAGCTATCCCTGCGATTACCATTTAGCATCCTACGGTGCAGCAAAATTGAACCACTAGTTGTTCCATACACGTTTTATATTTTCTCACCTCTGGATTTTGTTCTTGCTGTTCCCTCTACTCTTACCTTATTTATGAACACAAATTCAATGGTACTGTATACCATATGGGGCTCAGTACTTATATCTGTGCTTCTTTTATGAAAAATATGTGCACATAATCTAAGATAAAGAGAATTAAATGTACAGAAATTCTATTTAAAGAAATTGCACCCTGACCTTTCATTCCAGTTTGACTCATGTATAACCTAAAGATGGTATTTGCTTGAAAGAAGGTACAGTAGCTTGAAACAATATAAATACAAGAAAAGGTTTGCAAAATATTTGCTGGAGGATGATGGTTTAAGTTGTAAATGAATTACTTGATTATGTTTTTATTCTTGCTTTGTGTAGCCTAATACATTTCCTTGTTAGCATGAACATTTTTTGGATTGCACAATATTTATAGAGAAATTGCAGTACTTTCACAGATTGTTAAAGTAAGTTCATCACATATAAAGTTAAGCCTTGACATTTTTCAAAAGGTAAATATCTTTTGACATTTCCTGGTGAACAGCTTGAGTTATGAAAAGCAACCGTCTTTCCTCTGTTGCTACCATATTTCCAGGCTTCATTTAAATGTATATGTACACAAATAATTCTTTTATTAGGTGGCAAATTCACTAGACTCCCAAAAGCTTAACCTGGGTGAAACAAAAGAAACAATCAAGTACTGTTTTCTATCTTCCCACCTGTTTCAGAGGAGAAAACCCTTGAAAAGCTTTCTTTTCAATTTTCCAGCTGAACACCCTCAATAAGTAGTTTATGATACATCCAGGAGATCTTAATGTGGCAGGAATGAGAAAGTAATTTTAAAATTACAGGAAACCCTGACACCAGCACTTCAGAAGCCTTTCTGTCTGGTTAGCCACAATTCTTCACTTGGTTACCCCCTAAGGTGCTTCTGAACCGTAAGGGATACCTATTGTGATCTTGGAATCGTAGTTCCCATTCTACAGAAATTCGAGTCCTTCTTTTTGTTTTCCCAGTCTGGATACGTATCCTTTAAATTTGCCTCCTGACCTCTAAGTGCCATTGAGAGGAAGATAATAATCCTTTTGGGGGTACTGCCATCGACTTTTCTCTTTCTACTTTCTTGAGTGAATAAGGAAAGCATCCAGTGAATAGTTATTGCATTTGGTCACTAATTGCTCCTAAACTTTCAAAAATAACATATAGGCTTTTAGCTGCATTGTTCCTATTAAAACTGTGGAAAGTCATTCAACTAATTCTGCATAGGCTTGGAAAATTCACCCCAGAGATCTTCTACTAAGAATTAGAAATGCTCGGCTAAGCCGAATAATCGCCAGGTAGTCAATTTCAATTCACCTTCTGGTACAGTTTTGAAAATGTTAAGCTACAATGCTGTATTTATTCCAAGAAAATATATTATGAACAATTTAAAATATAGCAAATTTAAGGTGGCTTCTGATGTGAACTACAATAGTTTGTAGCTCACAGCTGTTAGTTGAATGGTGCAGATTTGTTTTTAGAGATAAATGTAATCAGTTAAACATTTGACTGCCACATCTATCTAACTGAACGATATATGTATGCAAATGTGGGGAAGTAAAATTGAGAGCACAACAGCCAATAGATCATGTTCTAGTTTATAGTAACCTGCTTTTTAAAATTTCTACATTAGATTTTCAGTGTTTTTGTGTTTGGTTGGATTATTTTACAGGAGAGAGTCTTAAGGCATATTTGTTTTACAGGGTTCAAAAGAATTCTTTTGGGTGATCTGATTCCCTTGTTCAGAAACCTCTAGCTTGACTTCTCTTTGTGGGTTTTAAGACTTTTCACTTTTGGGCTCATATAGACTTATGCCCTATTTCTTTAAATCAAATGCTCTTCTAGTGAATCCACTTTGTTTCCTGTATTGGTCATTATGTAGATTTACATGCAGGGAACCAAGATAATAATGACTTATACATAGGATGTCCTTCCTCACATACATTATAGTCTCAGCTGGTGTGCCATCTCTACTCTATAAAGTCATCAGCAACTGAGACTCCTTTTGTGTCATTGATCTGCCAAACGAAATGTGCTGGCTTCATCAACCTAAGCCAAGATGGTGTATCACCATCTGGATATTTCACCATGTGGATATTTCAGCCAGAGGGATGGGGTAAAGGGTAAGCGAGGGCACACTTCTCTCTAAGGGCGTGATCTTGAAGTTTCATGTATCGCTTCTGCTCACTCTTATTGACCAAAACTGAGGTATACATCTATACAGAGTTGCAAGAGATGCTGGGAAATATAGTCTTTATTTGTGATAGCCATCTTCCCTGGTAAAAATTCTATTACTAATGAAGAAAGGAAAACAGGTATTAGGAAATATTCTCTTTGCCACCTTTCCCATGTCTGCCTCACGACTGGCTCACTTCCTAGTCAAATGTTCAAATTTACCATTTCTCTTCTCTGCTCCTCCATTTTCTTCTCTTGCTCATCCATTTGGATAAAATAGAACTGCTTCTGTGAAACTTTAATTTTTACTAGTCTCATTGGCTTATTCCAAATAGCTTTTAGTTCTAAATTCTGTTAGTACAGGTGTTTTGTTGTCATTGTTGCTGGCAGTATTTGTGTGGTTCGTTGGCACTAATTGTCTTGTGTCACCATTAGATGTTAAAAAATTACTTTTAATCTCTTCATAGTACCTATAGTTGGAATCCAATAAATATTAATAATAAAATCAGAGATTTAGCGACATATGATATGCTTGTTAGAATGGCATAAAGACCAACTTTTGGTGGTAGAAGCTGCCCTATTATTTTTTATGTATTTACAAGACACTTCCAGAGTTAAATATTTTGTTCACCATTCTTTATAGTCAATGTATTAAGCCTTATTCATGAATCATTTATATACTATCCTTCTCACACCCTGTTATCCAAATGTGTGTGTGTTATACTTAACAGGTTTTCTACTATTTTATTGAAATAAAACAATTCAGACAAAAGCCTTGTTTTTTCCACTTTTGAAACATGTTATCTTCATACTAAACTCATAATGTTCTGTCAGTGCCCCAGAAGGCACTAATAATGCTCTGTACTGGCACTTTTTGGTATTGCCTGCAGTATATTCTTGATTAGAAAGTGCATCAGTCAGGGTCTCAGCTGGAAACAGGGTAATTGGGAAGGGTTTAATAATGAAACTATTTGCAAAGATGCAGGCAGGGTTAAGGAAAACCAACTAGAGATGTTTAACATGCTAGGGATAGCCTAGTGGGAAACCACACCACCTCAGCCTAAGGGGAAAAGGAGAGATTGGGTACAAGAAACAGTAGGCAGTATTGCAAGCTAGGAGACAATTTCCCAATGGGCTGTACACTTTGGTAGAGCATCCATCACAACTTTAGGGAGAAGGATCCAGAATTAGGCCCCCAATCTCATTCCCTCGTATCTTTTAATCTCCTGCCAGTGCCTTTCATTGGTCAAATCTAGCTGGAATCCTGAGGTTAGCTGGTATAATCTATAAAGAAATGACTCCCAGAGACCAGAGCAGGGCAAAGAAGCAGAGAAGAAGGGCAAATGGAAATTATCAAGTCTACAAAACATCTCCGTTTTTACAAAGTGTTTTCCAAAATTACCAGTTACTATTTTTCATTTTTGTTTTCCTAATATTTCAAAGAAGAGGTTGACTAAATAGTAATACAATGGAGTTAAGCATCCATCTTTCTTCTTTTTTGAATCGTATTGCTTGTACTTCAGCACTTATCTTAAGACTTAAAGAACTTGCAGGAGAATTTATATTGAAAACAGAATTTAAACAGAAATTAGTTCATTTTAATTATATCCCTTTAGATCTCTAAAATAGGAACATTATTCAACTTAACATTTAATTGAACAAAGCATTTCCATATACAGCATAAATTGGGGATTGTCAGCAAATTTGCAGTATGAATGAAGCACAGGAACCTTACAGAGAACATCTCCTTTGTCTAGAACACTACAACTGTGGCATTTAGTTATAAAGAGGACTTTCACACCATATGTTTTAACAAACTTTGGATCATAAGGGTATGTATAATGGAAAGACATAATTAAAGTTTAATCTGTTCAGTAAAAAGGCACCATTAATTATTCTAGTCAATTTGTTGGGTTATTAATTGGGTCTGGAAACATGTCAAGATACTAATGTAAATGAAATATTTTTTTTCCTGATTGTCTAGACAGCCCCTCGACCATATACTGCCCCAGGAAATATGCAGCCTCCAATTCGATTACAGCCTCTTCCCAGTAATCCTGCAGTAGGAACTGTTCCAAAGATAACTTCGGGATCCAGATCAAAAACCTCATTGCTGGAAAAGGAAGCTTCGTTTCCTATTGGGGTAAATGTTATTTCTTCAAGAAATACCTTTTTATTCTTGATTAGACTATTATTGTAGTTTTTAAGATGGTAGATTTAATTAATCTTAGTGAAATTTATATCATGCACTTAAGCACTCACAATGTATTTCTGATTATCTTAATCTAATGAGAAGGCCTATAATTTTGGAGTTAGTAGACAAAAAGAGTAAGGAATAGATTTGTATTAATATAGGGGGATCACTCATTAATTTGAAGAGTTGTATGAAAAACAAAGAAGAACTTTTTATAGGGAGATATGATTTCTATCAGAATAGATACAGTGTTGACTGCTTCCTAATTGTAAATGCATGAAACCTAGAAAATGAAACTTTCCAAGAATAGGTTTGCATTTGCATGCTGACTTACTTTACCACCAGTGTATGAAATTGCTTCAAGTTTGACTCTGGAGAACGATGGATATAGAAGGAAAAGAATGTCCATCTTTAAAAAATGCTGAATTAATCACACATAGGAGCTTGACTCTGCTTCCTTTTCAAGGTTATGTCTCAGGTAATTTTTACTTATTTTAATAGAGCACAGGAAGGAAGTATGGGAAAATATATAAGTTACTTAAACAGAGAGGAATAATTAGGAGATTCAGTAATTAGGAAAGGTATTGTTTATATTTCTAACACAAAAGAGAACCATTTGCCAGCTTAAGAAAGAAGCTGTGTCATAAGTACTATGGTCATTATGTTCAAATGGGTGAATTTAGTTTCATTCTTTTTTAGAAAACGTAAGATATATGAAATTTAAGATATTTTTATTTAAAACTTACAAATAATGTTGACACTAAGTTCATTCAAATAAATGATTTGTTTCTCACAAATCATTTATTGTGTACTTTATATGTAAAAGTACAAATAAAGCTCTAAGAATGATGACTAATATTTTAATCCATTTAATATGCTTTTCAGCTTATATAGCACTTTTCACAAACCTTATTATAGCTAATTTAGTAGTAGTTCCTCAGAAAGCTGGAGAAATTAAACCAAAAGTGGTGGCGCTTTTTCTAGAGCTAGGCAGGAACTTATAAGTCAATTAGGCTGACACTTTCTAGGATCAGGTCTCCACTTTGAAAGCTCAGACATTGCCTGTTTAAGATAGTGTCCAGAAATGGTCAGGTCCTAGAGAATGTCTCAGGTTAACTGAAATAACTGACAAGAAGCTAGTATTTCTCCCTACAGGAAACTGCAATGAGGAGTAAACTCATAATCAGGGCTATTAATTTGCAAGATCTCAAATAACCAAAGCTTGTAGAAGCAACATATCTTTCTCCTATAGGCGGACCTATGTGGGAAGCCATATCATAATGAAAAGGTTGCCTGGTGAGCATGGAATCAGAATGAGGGGATACAGTGGAATGGAATGTTAATGGCATCAGTCTAAGATGGCTTGATGCACCTATCTCATTTTAGGAATGGGATTGCCAAAGGTACCAGAAAACTCAAAGGTCTTTGGCTAAAACCCTTTGTATGCTCCAGGAATAACTTTGCCATTAAGACTGGAAATATTCAAAGTCCAATGGGTGAGATTTCCTCTCCCCTAGATAGTACTTGGATGGGCACTTTCCATGTTTGCCAAGGTGACTATATTTTTTTCTAAGCTCCTATAAGTATTATTTTACTATATTTCTTCGATAGACACATTTTCCTGTTAGATATGTGAAAGTATTCAATCGGGTAATATTCGAGTTCTACTGGCTAGGGAGAGATTTTTTTTTTTTCTTTCAGATTATTTTCCAAATCAGATCTGAGCTACTGGGTAGGTTTAGTAATTAAATGTGCACAGGGCCTTTTATTTTCCTGTTTTTAAGTTTTGGGGTATGAATGATTGAGGCATAGGCAGTTAATGGCAGATTACATAGCTGACAAGATTGAGATCAATCTCTTATCATCTTAAACAAGCTAAACTTATACTTTTCATTCAGATAACATTTATTGGGCACTTACTATAGACTAGGTATTGCTCTAGACATTGGTGATATATCAATTATGAAGGCAGGCAAAAGCCTTTAACTGGCTGGAGTTTTTCTATACTGCACACAGATAAAATATACTGCCAGAAAGGATGCATAATTTTTTCAATGGCATTGATGATAAAAGTGATTTAATATAAAATCAGACAAGAAATTCCTAAAGAATAGTAGTCTGCATGATTGCTGAGTGTATACTGAGCACCCATTAAATCTGTATTGCTTTCTTAGAGTAAAGGATGTGGTATGCAGGTGGTAACCATTTGAAGGTACAACAGACATAAGCAGGTTGAACTTTCTAAGTATTAGGAATGAGGGTCTTTGATTTGAGTGAAAGCAATTTGGTCAAAAACAGGCTACTTGAAATGCAATTGAGTAAAAATAATGACATGAGTGAAAATGATTATCCTTAGAATGAGAGTTTCTCATACACTATTAATACAAACAGAAATTGGCAAAACTATTGGTAAAAGCAAATGGGAATATCTGTCAGCATTTTTAATGAACATGCTCGAACATTTTAACATATAGAAATTTTTCCTAGGAGTACACACATAAGTGGAAATAATAAATTCAAGAATACTTAGTATTATAATAGTGAACAATTGGAAGAGACCTAAGAATTTAATAGGGTATTGTTTTAAAATGTTATAATATATTAAAGTATGTTTTTAAAAAAAAGGTAGAATTATTTGTACTGGCACAGAAAGGTGTCCAGGATACTTTGGGCTAAAGAAGTGAGATAAAGAACAGCATGTTAATTTTTTAAAAAACTATTAAACCATTTTCAAATAAAGCATACAGTTGATTGATAACTACTCAGAAACTTTAAAAGAAGCCGTAAGCCTGAAAAATTCTCAATTAATTCATTTTTTTGTTCTAAATATTTTCACTACTTTAATTTATACTTGTTATTACAATATCAATACACACCATCAGAGAAAAATGGAAAATATAGGATAAGAAAAATGAGAATATAAGTAACACCTACAATATCAACCATTCTAAGAATTCTAAACTCCTTGGTGAATATCTATTTAAATCTCTTTCTGCTGTCTTCAATCAAAATATGGAATATACATGCCTTTTTTGACCTGCTTTTATTTATTTATAATGAGAAAGGTTTAAAGAATGACTTCTCTTTCTTGAAAAAAAACTTTTTTAAATTAGTTAAAGATGCCTTAGAGTTTGGAAAACTACCTCAGATATACAAAAATTACCAATTTGTGAAAATTCAAAGATTAAAATAGACCTAAAAAATGTAATATAATTATTGATTATAACTTTGGTGCTTTTTAATCATTAAAGTAATACACGTTAAAATTTCAAATAATACAAAGATATATAAAATACACAATGATATTCCCCCAATAATCTAAATCTCCATGGAAACTTCATGTTCAAAGTCTTCCAGTCATCCCTGATTTCATCAAAATTCATAAATAAGTTATTTACAAGAAATGTATGATTACATAACAGGGATTTTTTTATGTCAGGAAGAATAGATTCACACTATTCTTTTTGAAACCTGGTGAGGATCTATTATAAGAACAAAGCAAAATTAAGTTAAACATTCTCCTATTGTTGGACTTGATGGTTCAACTAAATTTGGGTTAGCATCTGTGTTTAGTATCTTGATATTATATTATTAAGGAATATTATAACACCTGGCTGGGTGAAATTAATATGAAAAAAGTGCTAACACCCCATTGTTAAGTGGACCATCTAACTCAGCTTCAAAGTAAACACTTCAAACTTCTTGTTTCTAAATTGTTTAATTAAACTGGGTCCACATAGACTTAGAGGATTATTGAGAAAAAGTCCAAAAGTACTATAAAAATGCCATCACCGTATATTTGGTTTAAAACATACTTAAGGTTAGAAATCCATGAAAATTTAATTTGCTATGGATACTACAAAATGCCATTTTTCAACAGACTGGAGTGTTTTGAGTTTGCCTGTTGATAACCAGTCATGTTAGAAACAATGTCAATCATACAGTCTTGTCTTTAATTTTGGGCTCTGTTGGGTCACCACTCTGTCTCACTGGTTCTTATGCCATGACATGCGATTACAGGGCAAGAAGGCAGTGATGAAGTTCAGGAGCTCTGTGGACAATTCCCAGGGAATCAATCGATATCAACTTCTGAACCTTGACTGTTACATGATGCCTATTCCTCCTCCACCTCCTCCCCACAATGGAAAAAGTGCCCGGGAAAACAGACCTGAAACATGGAGGAAAAGAAGAAGATTTCGTCCAACCACTGCTCCAAATGGCTTAGAACCTCTCTTTACTAGGGTGATTATGGAATCAAATTTTCTTTTATTTATTTAGTGCAGATTGTATTGCATTATTAAACTTCTAGATGTGCAGTAAAAGCATCTAGGGAAATCAAAAGCAAAATGCCTTACATAAAGAAACATAATAATTTCATAAATGTAAGTATAAGCTTGAATAAATCTGAAATAAAATATTTGAGTAGTTCAGTTCAGTAACTAATTTAGCACAATTGGTAAAAAGTCCAGTGAGTCTTGTGATCAAATTTAGTTTGTACAATACCCATTTCCAAATTATTTCATTTTATTTCCCCATTCAGTCACATGTTGTCAGAAGTACTTTAACATTTAATTTGTAAAAATTCAGGGACTTTAGATAACAAAAATACAATTTGCCATATAAAATATATTATTAAGTTTAGTTTTAATGATTGTTGGCAAATTAACTGTATAATATTTAGAAAAAAGTTTTTCTCAATACTCTTCAAAAATATTTCCTCAAAATAGTAATAAATAGTCCTAAGGCCAGTTAGACTTTATACAGATTACAGACTAGTATAAGGGAAAAGATCTCTTAATTTTTATTGTGTAAACATACAACAAATGGTAATTATATGTAACTTTTGTGATTCTTAGCAGATGGCCGAGGCAACATTTAACTGATTGAGAATCAGAGAGTGAAGCTTCAACAAGCACATAGACTGCTTGCTGGCTCTTCAAAACCGCCTTCACTCTTTTTTTTTTAAATTTTGTGGTGAAATTGTTACACAAGATTATATATATATATATTTTGGGAGTACGATATTATAATTCGACATTTGTATACACTACATAGTGTTCACCACTGTAAATGTAGTTATCATCCATCATCATTCAATTGATCCCCTTCACACTCCCCCTGTTCGCACCCCCTCTAGTAACCACCAATCTGTATCTTATGAATTTGTTTGTGTTTTGTTTTGTTTGTTTTGTTTTTTAGATTCCACATATAAGCAAAATCATGTAGTATTTGTCTTTCTCTGTGTGACTTATTTCCCTTTGTATAATACCCTCAAGGTCCATCCATATTGTTGCAAATGACAAATTTCCTTCTTTCTTATGACTGAGTAGTATTTCATTGTGTGTATATATATTACATCTTCAGTCGTCCATTGATGGGCACTTAGGTTGTTACCATATTTTGGCTATTGTAAATAAAGCTGCAATGAACGTAGGGGTGCATATCTCATTTCGAATTAGTATTTTTGTATCCTTAAATAAATACCCAGAAGTCAAATAGCTGGGTCATATGATAGTTATATTCCTAATTTTTTGAGGAATCTTCATGCAGTTTTCCATAGAGGCTGCACCAGTTTGCATTCTCACTAAGAGTATATGAGGGTTCCCTTTTCTCTACAACCTCTCCAACACTTGTTATTTGTTTTTTGTTGTTGTTGTTAATAGCCATCCTAACAGGTGTGAAGTGATGTCTCATTGTGGTTTTGATTTTCATTTCCCTGATAATTAGTGATGTTAAACATTTATTCATATGCATGTCGCCCATCTTTATGTCTTCTTTGGAAAAATGTCTCTTTAGATCCTCTGCCCATTTTTTAACTGGGTTTTTTGTTTTTATAGTTCTGAGTTGTGTGAGTTCTTCATATATTTTGGATATTAATCCCTTATCAGATGTATGATTTACAAATATCTTCTCCTATTCAGTATGTTGCTTTTTTGTTTTATTGATGGTTTCCTTTGCTGTACAGAAGCTTTTTAGTTTGATGTAGTCTCTTTGTTCATTTTTGCTTTTGTTTCTCTTGCCCTTGAAGTTATATCATATATGTATGATATATCATATATATATATATGTGTATATACATATATATATCGCTAAGACAGGGAACTTATCAAGGAGCTTACCATCTCTTTTTTTTTCCTAGGAATTTTATGGTTTCAGGTCTTAGATTCAAGTCTTTAATCCCTCTTGAGTTAATTTTTGTGTATGGTATAGCATAGTGGTCTAGTTTCGTTCTTTTGCCTGTGGCTGTCCAGTTTTTACAGGACCACTTATTGAAGAGACTGTTCTTTTCCCATTTTATGTTCTTAGCTCCTTCATCATAAATTAATTGTCCATATATGTGCAGGTTTATTTCTGGACTCTCTGTCCCACTGATCTTTGTGTGTGTTTTTATGCCAATACCATACTGGTTTGATTACTATAGCTTTGAAACCAAGAAGTATGGAATATCCAGCTTTGTTTTTTTTCAAGATTGCTTTGGCTATTTGGGGTGTTTTGTGGTTCCAAACAAATTTTGGAATTATTTGTTCCAGTTCTGTGAATAATGCCATCAAAACTAACTTTACTCCTAAGTACTTTATTTAACCCTTGTCTGCATCTCACTGCAGGCATCTATCCTCACCAATGAACTTCTCAAAAAATTGGGACTATCTTCCTCATACTTGCTCACATTTCTCCCTTTCACTTCTATTTTCACCAATTCTCTTACTTAGTTATGGTCTCTGATAGATCATTGTATCCCTTATCTCTGAGGCCCATCCTCCGCCCTGTGTCCTTGATCTTATCCTTTTTCACCACCTATGGCACCTAACATTGTCTGTCATTCTGCTCTCTAATTTATATTTTTATTCTATCTTCAATATTCATCTCTGTCTGTCAACATACCCATGCCCTATATAAAGTAACCAAATCCTTTCCTCACATTCTGTAGCCTTAGACTCCTGTTTTCTTCTTTCCTACTGCGAAGTTCTCTGAAGAGTAGTTTACTGTAGCTTAGTCTAACAAACAACCCCAGGCAACTCAGGTTATAACAACAAAGATTTATTTCTTGTTGTTCTTATTATCTGTTGTTGGCCAGCTGCAATTCTGGGATCCACATTAGAGGAGTAGTTCCTGTTTGGGGTATGTTGGTCTCATGGACAGCAGAACCATGGAATGCTTTTAAGATTCTACTCAGAAGTGGCACATGTTACTTGCACTTGAACTCCAGTATCAAGCCTGACAACAATGGAGTGGGAAGTATCATCCTCTGACAGAGAAGGGGTAGTGAATATCTGGAGCAATAATAGAATCAATTATATCTACTAACTTACTTTTGAACCCTTTGCCTACTAGGTCCCTACTAGGCCAACAAACATGCTGGACCTTGAAGGATATGGCCCCCACTTAGCAAATATAGTGACTTCCTTATCATTCTCATTTGGTGGCAGCATTTGATTTTCTGATATTAAAATATATTAGTGAGATAAACTCTACTTGATAATAATTTTTTGAAAAAAGTTAAATGTCTCATAAACCATAAGAATATATAAAATCTATATGTGTAAGTTAAACAATAATAATCAAGCAAACACCCATGTTCACACTATTACTTCTAACAAAGTAGAACACTATTGTCATATTATGAGCCCTCTATTCCTCCTCCATCACATCATCTACTGCTCCCCAGAGCGACCACCAAACTGACATCTGGGTTAACTTAATTTCTGCTTTCTTTGGAGTTCTACTGCTAATATGCACAAAATTTCAGAAGTAAGCTCAAACCTAGTCTTGTCATGAAAGGATAATATTTCCAGGAAAAGATGAGCTGAATAGAGTCTTTAGGTCACAGTCTGGGCTTGTTTTTTGATAGTTTTAGAAGTTCCTTTTGAGGAATTCAGAGAGCCAGGTCATGAGTGTGTCCTTAGGAAAATAGGGTTCACTAGAGTCAGAGCATCTAGTGAGGTCCTAGTGTGGGCCAGCTACTGGACATCCAATGAGAATATGGTCAGGTGAATGAACTTCTGAGAGGAGAGTAGCAATTTCTCCATTCTGTGTTCATGACAAGTGAAACCATAGATAAGCATCTGAGGCAGCTTCCTGGGCCATTCTGCAGTGAGGTTAGAAATGCAGCATGGAGTCAACAGGCATCCTGGCTTTGACAGAACTTAGCATGTCTGTCTCCTGAGTCATAAGTCTTCAGTCCAACCTGGTCTTTTTAAAAATAAAAACAAACAAACAAACAAACACTTCTGTTCTTTTTGGAATCCCTATTTTGGGATTCTTGTAACTACTAGACTGATGCTCTAATATTCTTAGCTTTTCTATTTTCTACTTCTTTGTCTTTTTATTCTACTTGCTGAGAGATTTATTTTATTTTATCTTCCACACATACTGCTGAGTTTTTTCTTCTGCTGCTTCATTTTATTCTAAGAACTCCCTTTGTGTTCACTAAATGTTACTTTTAAAAAGCAACTTATTCTTGTCTTATGTGATTTTGATTCTTCGGCATTTGTGGAGACTTGCTTTGTGGGCTAATACATATTTAGTTTTTGTAAAGAATGTGATTCTCTAAATGTTAAGATCAGCATTCTATAAATGCTTACTAGATAAGAAATGTAAATTATGTCATTCATACTTTTACGTTCTTAGCATTTTTAAAATCTAGGTAGTTGCTCAGTTCTGAGTTCTAATGATAATTCATTCTCTGTAATTATAGATTTGCCAATTTCTCCTTGTTTTGTAAATGTCAAGTTCTGTTTCGTAAATGTTGAGAATACCTTGATATATGCTGTCAGATTTAGGATTTCTCTGTTTTACTGGGGAAGTGATTATCATTAAAAAAAACATCATCTTTATTACTTATTTCTTTTAGCTTTAAAAATCTATTTTGACTAATAGTTCTTTTTCTTATTTTCTTTAAATAAGTGTTCAACTTCTTATTTTTTTTTAGATTAGTATTTAATATATATTCCTTTTACATTCAGCTTTTCATGTCTTTACATTTAAGATTGAGGCTTTAAATGTATTTATGCTGCATATGGATGCTCTCTGTTTATTTCAAGCTGAGAATCTTCGTTCCCTTAATAAGCAAGTCTAGTCCAATTACATTTATTTTATTTAATAGTATTTTTAGACTTAATTCTATCATTTTAGTTTGTATTTTCTACTTACCAGTTCTTTGATAGCATTTTAGTTCCCTCTCTTGCCTTCTATATCACTCTATTTTCATGCTTCTTTGCCATCTAAAAACACCTCTTGTCTTG